AGAGATAAGTGACTCTCTCATGATGCTCTCGTAGCTTTCACTAAGGGATCACAGTGTGTCTATCTGTCTCCCCCACTGGACTCAGAGGTTCTCAAGGGCAGAAGCGCTGTCTTTTCATGACTGAATCCTTAGTGTCTGATGCAGGTGCTAGCATGGAGCATTTATCACTACATATTGTTCAAATGCAACTGGGTCATTAATTAATTAATGACCAATAAAATCAAGACAATTTTACAATAAATAATTGAGAAATTAATTAACATAACTAATTAATTAAAGTGCTCCTAGGAGAGGACATTAGCAAGTTGGTCAGTCAAGTTATTCTTGTCTGATTTTATGATGCCAAATTCCCCAAAGAAATGTCTGAGTATTTGAATGTCTGGCCGTCCTAAATTAAAATCCTATTTTTTCCCCTTTTTTATAAGATGTAAACGCCTTCAATTTTTATTTAGTGTATCAATAATCTTTTAAAATTGTATTTAAGATTTGAACACTTAATGTGCTCATGTTTAAGAATCAAAACATAGAAAGGGGTATTGGTACAAAGTCTCTCTTCACCTCTGTCCTCAGTCATCTATTTCCGCTTTTTGGAAGAAATCAGTGTGGTGATTGGTAGTTATGGTGTGTGTGCTGTGTGCCAGGAACTATGCAAATGTAATCTTAATAGACAGACATGAAAAGGGGTACTAATATTATCCCCATCTTACTCACTGATGGAGTGAGTAGAGGGAATTGCCCAAGGTTACAGAGAGAGGAGGAGCCAGGGTAGAGACCATGTCTTTCTGGGTTCATAGTTGAGAAACACTTAACTTCTGGGCCAGTGGTCTTCAGATGTTCTTATATCCCTTTATTAAAAAAATTTGTGAATAGAGATCATTTAAATAAATATATTTACTTATTTATAAAGTGGACTAAATATATTTTGTGCATTAAAAAACATTTACTAAAATGGAAATTTTAAAAAAGATTCATTCAAAATAAGAGAATTGTTTTAAATAATTATTTTATTTTGTTCAATTTTTGTAATGGTGCTAAAAGTATCGTTTGCTCTAACTAGAGATATGTTAAGTAATTTTTTTATGCTTAAGTTTTAAATGCCTGCCAACCACAATGGTTTTGAGTATTATCAGCAGAATCTAGAAACACAACCACTTACACTTAAGCCAGGGTAGATTATCAACAATGGTAAGTGTGGATCTCTGTCCAGATGGCTGTGTCATAGTTTCTCCTAGTCAGGTGGGGCCCTCTCATCTTGTTCCTACTCCTGATGTGGCTGACCGAGAGATGCCATTTCCTCGCTGTTCCCTCTCACTGAGGGTGTGATTGTCCATCTGCAGTTCCATGATTCTCGCTGTGTTGAAGGAACTGTGCTGGGTTCAGAGACTTAGAGGCAAATCAGCCATGGTTGAACCCCTGGGGATCTCCTGGTGTGGTTTACTAGATAATCACCACTAAAAAGTCTTATATGTTAGGGGAAGGCCCAGCATTTGGAAATGTCAGGGTGGCGGTGCAGGGAGATTTAGGGAGGAGATGTCCAAGATTGAGATGTTTGTCAGAGGTGAAGGGGGTGGGGAGGGAAGGGAGCTTCCAGCTATAGAGCAGAAGTGTGAGCTAACGCCATTTGTCAAAGAGGGGTGTGTGTGTGTGTGTGTGTGTGCATGTGCACGTGTTGGGGGATCTTGTCTTTGGTACTGACACAGCAGAAAGAGCAAGTCAGCAGAGGTGGAAGATGAGGCTGCTAAGGCCTGGTGGCAAATGCCATTACCCTGCTTGTTTAAGAGACTCATAGAATAATGATTATTCTAACCACAATAAGAGTAAATATTTAAAACTGCTAATAATAGCCATTGGGCACTTGGCTATGTGCTCTGCATGCACCTCTCATAAACCTCATAAACAGAAGGTGCAGTGTGGCCCCAGATAATTGCTTTCCCTGCA